ATAAAGGAGGGTGAGTGGGTGTCAAACCCCTCCTGGAGTCTTAGGGTTAGGGGGGAGGTCGAGGGAGGGAAGGGGGGAGGGAAAGAGGGAGGGAGGGAAAGAGGGAGGGAGGGAAAGAGGGAGGGAGGGAAAGAGGGAGGGAGGGAGGGAGGGAGGGAGGGAGGGGGGGAGGGAGGGAGGGAAAAAAGACAGTACGCGTAATGGCCAGTATGTGTTTTTTCTCTTGACAAGGATTTCATGGTACGGCCACAGACCTGTTCAGGAGCCGAATGTCGTACCCATCTTATGTGTGTTTCAACGCGTTTCGCTAGTTCCCCTCCCACTTTCCCCCATCCTTTCCTCCGAAAAGAGGTGAAGCGCCGAACACAGCGATCCTCGCGTGCGGATGCCGTACGGGAGGACGTACGACTGAGCATGCTGCCAGCCAAGCAGGTACGATCAGAGGCGGCGGAACAATTGACCCAATGAAGTGAAATGAAAGATTGATGAATATGCTTTGTTGTTTGTTTGTTTGGTTGGTTGTTCGTATCCGGCGCTGCTGCTGCTGCTACTGCTATATGTCTGTGTCTCTGTGTCTGTGTGTGTCTGTGTGTGTCTGTGTCTGTGTGTGTCTGTGTCTGTGTGTGTGTGTGTGTGTGTCTGTGTGTATTTGTGTGTATGTATATGTATGTGTGTATGTCTATGCGTTCTGCGGCGGCGAACCCACCATACCACACATCCACAATACCCACATATCATGGTCATGCAGCACATGCTTTCGTACATGTACGGCAATCCTGTCCAGGTGCTATCGGAGCTGACTGCAACGACGCAACCATCATCGCCGCAAAAGCGAGCCCAAGGCCGCGCCAGCGGCGTCAGCCTCGATGCGTTCGTGGCGGCACGGCGTGCCGTACAAGATTCATCCGCCGCTGCGGGCACAGCGGAGGGTGCCGCCGGTGATCAGCGGGACACGTCAGCGGCGGCGGCGGCGGCGGCGGCGGAGGGAGCGCCGGCGGCGTCACGGCTGCTTGGCCCGCCGTCGAGGGCAGCTGAGCTGCTGAGCGCGCTGAGGTGCGTGGATGTCGTCTACGGCAGCGGTATGTACGGATGGGTAACTAAACTATGCACCCTCCCATCTCTCTCTGCTCCTCCTCCCCTCAGAGGGACAGAAGCGAAAAGCGACCCCTGCCATAATTGGAATTACTCGTGGAATTTTCATGATTAGGGCATTTTCCTGCAGCCTGGCGCCTGATTAGGCCATCCTTTTGAATTTGAGAATTTAAGCTTTGGATGTTTTTCGTTTTGGATTTGGGTTTCATGCAAGAAGCGTCAATTGTCTTAAACTTTGTCTTGGTTATGCACATATCACCCTTGTTGGTGTTTGTTGTCCTCAAAGCATCGAATTGTTGTAATGATGCTGCTAATGCCAACACAAAAACTTTCTGTTTTTTTGTGTTTTATTTATCTATTCATTTGAAATGCTTTTCAGAACTCGTTGGGATCCAGATGATGATGATGAGGAGCTAATGGGGGAGGGGCAGCAGCAGCGGGAGAGCGGGACCGTGTACGACAGCGGCGAGGCCGACGGAAGCGCGGCCGGGGGAGACGCGTCGACCGCGAACGAGCCCCGTGGGTCCGTACCGCCGCCAGTCGTTGCAACTAATGTACGACTGGATGATTTGGTTTCGGCGCTACGACAGGACATGCCCTCCCAGGCTGTGGCGCTTCGAGGACTAAAATCACAGGTGTGGGTGTAGGAGTGGGGTTAAAGTAAGTTTATTTAGGGTTTTAAGTTAAAGAAGATGGGGGGATGCGAGGTGAGAAGGGCGGGGGAAGGGAAGGGAAGGGGAGAAACTACCAAATTAAAGATCTTTATTGAGGCAAATTCGGTGGCTATACGGCACAAGCCGTCCTTTATCCCCATCGCCAGTCCGTGCCGGCGTGTATGGCAGCGTGTGTGGCTGCCTTGGGTTTTTTCCGTACTGATCCGTACTCACAACCTTCTACACCCTTCCAGCCCCACCTGAAAACTGAACTTTGGGGTGTTGTCCCGGTTCGATTCCCCTTTCCCAAAAATTAACCTTCTTAAACCCTAAAACCCAACTGTACTCCCCCTGTTTCCCCCTTCGGGTGGGGCGGGGACACGCGCCCTGCGGGTTTATGTACGGCAGCGAGACGTCGCCGCCATACGTCTGGGCTGGGCTCGCCGACTAGGGGGCTTGAGTGAAGGAGAAGACGAAGACGTTAGCGTCGGAGAGGAGGAAGAGGTTTTGGATGACAATGGTGACGTCGTACGGCGGCGTCGGCCGCCGCGGCCACGGTTGCAGTTTCGGTTACGCATGAGCGAGCGAACGAAAGAGCTTCGGAAGATGTGCCTGAACATCGTGAGTGCGAGTCTGTCGGAAGGAACTGTCGAAGAAGAAAAATTGCTTTCCAGAAGTTTCTCTAAGGGAAAATTATTGTCAGAAAAATCATGAGTTGTCGGAAAAATTCCCAGAATAATTGAAATTTCTTAGATATATCGTGAGATTTCCTCACTTTTATTAGCCCGGGACCGCTAAACACGCATGTCAGACTTTACATTCTTCTAAAAATCTGACTGCCACGGCGCGGTCTCTCTCATCCACTCTCGCGCCTCTTGCCGAACATTCCTTGGGCATTTTGTACGGGACTTGTACGGCATTCGTACGACAGCTGGACGAGGTGGTTCTTGAGCAGGCGATGTTCCGACTGGCCCAGCGGCCCTCCCGGGACACGGTGGCGGCGGAGGTGGCGGCGTGGCGGGCGGCGCAACCCGGGGCTCTGGCCAGCGTGGCGAGACATCTAGCTGAGGGCCTTACGCACGAGGTCGTGGACGAGCTGATCGCGGAGGTGTGTTTTGTGGAGCTTCGTTAGTTCGTTAGTTCATTGGGGAGGGGAGGAGGGGGAAAAGGAGTGGAGGGTACGAGGGTGTGTATGTATGTATATATATGTATGTATGTATGTATATATCTTGTATGTATCTGTATGTAAAAACAAGATATGTATGTATATATCTTGTTTTTAGGGGGGCTGTCGGAGTTGGGGGGAGTAGGATCAGGGTAATCGCACACGATAACGACGCTTCCAGATTGCCACAAATTCCTGCTGCTCGTCCGACGCTGTACGGCATATCTATTCCCCAAAAGTAACCTAACTCTTTTGCTATACATATTGCCCGGCCCGCCTTCCGCCGATCTGGCTTTCGTTGGAATGGCAACCGCCAACGCACAACTATCAACAACATGAACTGTTTAAAAGGCGTACGACGAGATTTGCCATCTGAAAAAGGTACGGCGGTCTGGGTTCCTACTAACGCCCTCCTGGGCGGCGGCGAGTCGTCTACTTCAGTGCTTTCGTCGCACTCGTACAAGTCCTCCTTTCCTCCCCCTACCGCACCCAACCTATAGAATCCCAAGTGATGAAGTTCTCCCCATTGTGCGTGTATTCCGTACTTCCCGCCCTCACCCCTCACCTTAAGAAGCAACCCCCATCTTGGCCGTCACACTCAGGTCTCAAAACTAAATCCTGTAACGCCTCCTAAAAGCCTAAAACCTCTCCTAAAACCCTAACTCCCCTCCTAAAACCCTAAAACCCCTCCTAAAACCCTAACTCCCCTCCTACTATTTTTCAGGTCGCTGATTCATTCGCGTTCGACATGTTGGTTGAGGCGGTTGCCTTCAGTCAGCGCAAGTATGTTTTCGGAGCGCGTGAAGACGCAGTGAGGTCCCGGTTGAGAGACGCTGCCGTACAGCAGGACGTGAGTGCGTGTGTGCAGTACAACATATATATGTATGTGTATGTGTATATGAATGTGTATATGTATATGTGCCATATGTATATGTTTACGTACGTATATATGCTTATGTATGTGTACATGTATATATACATGTACAGGTATATGTGTGCGTGTGCGCAAGTCTGTATGTATGTGTTGTTATATGTACAGGGAATCCACTGACCCGTGGGTCGGTTGGTGGAGGGAATAGATTGGAGTTCAACGAATGGCAGAGGTATAGTTGCGATTGTATGCTGAAGACCGACCCGTGGGTCGGTTGACTTAAGACCCCACTCGCAACCAAGACCAATACCGAACCTAAAAAAGCAAGGCGCCCGCCCCTCGACTGCGTGTTCCTCGCCCATCCTCCCCCCTCCAGGCCTATCTGGCTCGCAGCCTCGCAGCCAAAAGGGCGGCGACCATGGCTCGTACACTCAGTCGGAGAGTCACGTGGAACGAGAGGGAGCTGCAGCAGCAGGGGCAGCAGCTGGCAGTAGCTGGGGGAGGCGGGCGGAGTCGGGGTACGGCGAGTGGCGAAGACGATGACATGGACACGTACAACCTGTACGGCAGGTGGCCGGTGGCGGCACGGGGTATTAAGGTGCGGGGGAATGAATACACCCCTTGGGGGGCCCCGCCCTTCCCCCGGGGGGAACGAAGTTGAGAGGTTTTGTGAACGGTGTGGTGAGGGAAAAGGTCACCACGGAATGTACGGCATCTGCAGTGTACATTCCCCCCTGGGCTATTCAGCAAGTTCTTGATGAAGCCCTGAAACCCCAAAGCCCTCAAAAAGTTCTAAAACCCCCTTCGGTCTAAAACTAACTAGATTTTAGTTTATAACCGCACGCACAAACGGTCTTCAACGCAGCTCGGCACCGCGCTGTCCGACGAGCTCGACGAGGACGCCATCTACCTATTGCACCGGGACTTCGACGACACCCACTTGCCGCGGGAGGAGAAACAGCTCTACCTGCAGGGCCTGAAGGTGCGCGTCGGAGGGGAGGGAGAGGGAGAGGTGGGGAACCCAGATGGGGGGGGGGTTATACGGGAGCCAAACGAGTATGAGAGCCTTTTAGGGCCTTTCCTTTCCCGTACACTTAATGTACGGGTTATGCCGTCAGCTGTACGAAAGCAGTAATCTGTTCGGATCCGACCGTAACGTCGTTCCATCACCCATGTCGTCGCGCTTTCAACGAACCTGTACGGCTCCTCGGGCCTCAACCCTCGAGCAGCAGCCGCAGCAGCAGCTGCAGTAGAGCTGAGGAGCTGAGACGGTACGACCCTAAGTAAAAAGGCTCTTACGACAAACACGTTCGTACTCTTGCACTCGGCCGTACCTGTACTGCAGGCCATGTTGCAGGAGATGCGACTCCAACGGGGCGATGCGCCGTACGGCCACACGCAGCAGCTGTCCATCTACTGGCCGCCGTACGTAACGGTCAGCCGGGTAGGTACCTACCTCAACTAATCCTCCCACGTGAGAAACCTTGTCCAAAAGACAATTCTAAAAGAAAAAATCGTACGGCATATCAAGTACGACAGATTACCAAACAGATTACTAAAGCACTAGTTGTATAAGGACTTTTAGGCTACTTTTTAAAAAAATCTATACACAATATAAATTTCCATGGCTTATGGCTTAACTACTCAGAGGCGTAAGAAACGCTTTTACGAAAAGCATTGTGAAAGCGCTAAAACCCGCCCTCCCCCCCACTACAGGTTCAGCGTCTCGCCGCGCAGCGCCAGCGGCCCCCCCTTGCCGCTGGGCCCTCTGTTTGGCGGCAGCTACTACGGGATGCCCCCAGCCGCATCCAGGCGGGGCCCTGGGGGGGGCCCTGGTGCTCGGTGGCGGCAGCCCGGGAAAGACTGTTCTGGAGCCGGGTGGCCTTGAAACACACGTACCTGACCTCAAAGGGGGCCCCAATGGTGCAGGTGTGTGTTTTTAAGGGGGGGGATGGGAGGTAGGGGGAGGGAAAGAAGGCGTGCTTGTGTGTTTTAGGTGGGTTGGGAGAGGGGGTAAAAGAGGTAAGAGAGAGTAAGTCTGGTTGCGTGCGTATGTGCTTGTATGTTTGTATGCATGTACGGTTGCGCGTGAGCCCTGGCATTGCATGCATGCATACAGACAGACAGACAGACAGACAGACACGGCCTCCCTCCGATGCGCCTCCTCCTCAGGTGTTTCACGAGCTGGGTCCCATCACCGTCCTCTCCGCCAGCCCCAACGGGGCCTTTCTCGCGGTGGGAACCGCCCCGGGAGCCATGCTGGTCTTCAACATGAGGAACAAACCCGCCGCGCCCTGGTTTCAGGTGAGTTGCTTGTGACCCGTGGGTCGGCCGACCCGTGTCTGTCTGTCTGTTTGTATGCCTGCCTATCTCCCTATCTGTCCATCCGTCCTCCTGTTTCCCTTCCTACCTTTCTGTTCCATGTGTATTGCGACTCATCGTGGCTCGTCATGACCCATGGGTCATGAACCATGGGTTATGTCGTAATGACCTATTCAAGAAAATACTTGACACCTATCCTATATCCAATTGATCACCTTGTCCCCAACTCCCCAACTCCCCCAACATACACACACACACATACCCACACACACCTTAAAACCCACCTGCAGGTGCTGGGTGACGGACAGACGTACAAGCGGCCGTGGTTTCGGCGCCCCAAGCCCCGAAACCCCGCCCTGGTGGCCCTCTCCTGGAGCGCTGACAGCCATCAACTGGCCTCCCTGGACGCGACTTCCACGCTCCGAATGTGGTGGATGAGACCGGAGCCAGGTGCGCGTAGGAGGCGGGGCAGAGGATTTTGTAAAAGACCGATTAAGGAAAGGAAACTTTGAAACTGCATCCTGCCTACCACTCTCGCATCATGCGAACGAGTGGGCTCACAAGGATGGAAGTCCGATCGTCGACAATCCAATGGCGATCTTTCCTTCACGCCTCTACCCCACCTCTCATCTGATGGGCCCATCTGATGCAGCCGTCACCTGGCTGCTTTCTAACACGACTTTCGAATCCCGGAATCTGAATCCATTTTTTTAATTTCGATCAGGATCCTTTGTCAAGGAAGATCCAGCACGACAGCCGGTGGCTCCGGAACTCATCCTCTCATTGGGCCCTATGTCCTTCGCGATCAGCGGCAAAGCCCCGGTTTCGGAGCCGCACCTGGAGGAAGAGCAGTTCTTGGCGGCGGCAGCAGCCGTGTCGGGGTTTGGCGGCGGCGGCGGTGGTGGTGGTGGTGGCACGGCCGCTGCAGCGGCGGCTGACGCCGCCGCGGCGGCGGCCCATGCGGCGGCACTGTCTCGCCGTTGGGCCTTATGCTTCCATCCCGAGTTCAACATTGCCGGTGTACAGCCTACTGTGATGTTACCGCAGGTGGTTGTTAGTCGGTTAGTTGTTGGTTGGTTGGGGGAAGGGGGCGAGGGGGGAAGGAGAGGGGGGGAAGGAGAGGGGGGGAAGGAGAGGGGGGGGAGGGCAGGGGGAAGGGGGATTGGAGTCCAAAAGGGGTTGGTTAGTCGGCTTGGCTTCGGCCCAATCATCTGCCATTCCCACAGTGTTGGGTGGCAGATGGTGTTTATGGAGACCGACAATCCTTTGGGGTGCCTTGTATAACTGCATTTACAGCATCCTTTTTTTATTCAAGGGCACCGTGTTTTGAAGTGGCCACATGAACGGGGCCCGGTAGTGCGTGTATGTATGTGTGATGTATGTGTGTGTGTGTAAGCTACCTGTGTACGACTCCTGCGCTCCCCTCTCCGCCTCCTCGCCTTACCCCCAAAATTGAAACACGTGCACACGTGCACACGCTCATGCCCCCCAGGTCACCGGGGACCTGCTCCGCCTCACGACCACGGCAGGTAGTCGGGTACTGCCCACACCATTGCCCAGAAGCAGAGGACGAGTTGTACGGAGTACGGCACTTAACCAACAAACGGTAAACTTCCTCATGCCGCCACAGGTGGGTTGTACCCTCTTAATGGGTCCAGGGTACGGTGTACGGAATGGGTACAGCGGAGTGCGTACGGTGTACGGATGGGCACGCAATGGTACGGATGGTTAGCGAATGCAGGATTGTTGGCTGGCCCTTTCCCGGTGTTTAGACCATAAATACTCCCTTAAATCTCCCCCCTTCCCCTCAGCTTACGGAAATTTTGAGATCCCTAAAACTGCGTAAAGCTCTGAGAGCATAATGACGAACCCGGAAACTGTGCAAGGTCCTGAAAACCCTGATAAGATTCCTGCAGGTTCCAAGCATCCGTTGGCTACTGCTACTGCTAACCTGCTACTTGCTTAACCTGCTACTGCTACTACTACTGCTGCTGCTGCTACTACACTACTACTGCTGCTATTGTTGGTAATGCTGCTACTATTGCTAGTCATACTGTTACTGCTACTGCTACTACTACTGCTGCTGCTATCACACTACTACTGCTGCCACTTTTGGTGATGCTGCTACTGCTACTGCTACTGCTAACCCCCTCAGATACCGTCACCCGAGTCCCGGGTTCAGGCGTTACTTCGCGGACATGACTCGCACATTGTGTTCGTGGATATCTTGGCGGACTGCGCTTCCGTACTGTCCGTGGATGCGAGTGGGGAAATCAATATTTGGCCGGTGAGGGGTTTTAGGGTTTTAGAGCTTTAGTGGTCCGGCATGATGCTCGGTTTTCGGGTTTTTAGGCTTCAGGTTCGTTCACGGAGGAAAGAGGGGAAGCAGGGGAAAAGGGAGAACAAAACGAAGAAGGGGGAAAGGAAGGGGGACAAAAACACATGAGGGGGGGAGGGTCAGGGGGGGGCGCACGAAGGGGGTTCCTGGGGAGAGGGAAAGAGTAGCGGGGGTTGAGGGGGTTGAGTTAGGGTCGTTTTTGGCGAAGGAGGTATGAAAGGCGGCCCTCTAAGAGCGCGGGCGGGTGCAGGAAGATGCCACCGAAGACCAGAACTCGAAGGTTGCACCGCCGCGTGCCGCGCGCCGCGTGCCAAACCCACACTTACACCCCACACACAACCCCATCCCCACACCCACATACCCACAAACCCGCCTTTCGCTTCAATTCCCTCGCTTACTTCTGATGCCGTTTGCCCTCGACAACTGACTTTGATACTGGTTACCGCGAAATACTCTCTTTAGACGTTCGAAGGGGAGCGTACGGGATATGGCTGGTTCCGTCCCCGCCGTACATGGCGCCTGCCCCGTACACTGCGGTCGTACCAGGCCCGAGGGCCGCTCAACCCCGTGTGGCCCCGAGTTCCCGTACCGGCTCTACGGGTATGTACGGTGAACGGTGTGTCGTATGTACGGTATGCGTGTGTATGCATGTCTGTATGTTTGTATGTGTATATTTCCCCACGACTATCCAGGTTCCATCGGAATACCCTCACAGTACGTAATATGCCGTACACACGTCATCTTGGACATGCATCGGCACTCGGTCCGACTCCTTCCCTCCTTTGCCATTCCCCCAGGGTATCTTGTACAACCCGCCAACAAGTGCCGCCGCCGCGGCGGCGGCGGCCACGAAAAACGGCAGAGGCGGTGGCGGCGTCGGCGGCGGCGGTGGCGGTGGCGGCGTCGGCGGCGGCGGTTTCTTTGGGGGGCTATTTCGGCGACATGGAGATGCGGCATCCAGCGGCGGCGGCGGCGGCGGGGGGGGAATTCCTGGCGGTCCAGGCTCCCAGTCGGCGGCGATGATGCCGCCGTCAGTGACATTTTCGGAGATGTTGGCGGATGCGGGTGGGTGACGGTGGGTATGTAAGTATGTATGTATGCATGTTTGCCTGTACACGACAGGTTTTTTACGGTACAGGTAAAGCCGGGCGCTCATACCCGGGGCTGAAGCACGGTGTGTGTCGGTATGGACATGTGAACGTGTTTACAACTGCATGCGTGTATGTCTGGTATGTGTGTATGTCTGTGTGTACATATCCAGGAGGGATCATTGAATATGCAAGTGCATGTGCATGTGTGTATGTGTGTATGTGTGTTACATCCACTACTTGTGAAAAGCAATAAGCGGTCCCGCCTTTACGAACCAAGGGAGGTCCCAAGGAAGGGCGAAAAAGACGACAAAAGAAGCCAGTAAGTGTATGCGTGTGCATGTCTGTCACACATATACACACACACGCGCGCACACACACACATGCACACATGCACACATACACATGCGCACACACACATGCACACACACACACGCGCACACACACATATACACACATACACATGCACACACACATATACACACACACGCGCACACACACACATGCACACATACACATGCGCACATACACACATGCACACATACACACGCGCACACATACACATGCATATACGCATCCAGCCCTTTCTCCTTCTCACCCCGGGGTTGGTTGGTTCTTGGTTGCGCTGCCTGTCCAGGTATGCTGGATGACGATTTGGAGGCCGCTCGGTTGAATGAGCTGCCGTTGGGAGACTTTCTGTTGGAGAGCCGGCAGTTGTGGATGGTGGGTGCAAGCTGAGATGAAACCGTTGGGGTTCGTTGGTGTCGTTACGGACTGGAATAAGGTGGGAGTTGGGAATTGCACTGGTGGCCCCGACAGGGTCGTTCGTGTGTGTGTGTGTGAGAGAGAGAGTGTGTGCGTGTGCGTGTGTATGTTTGTTTATATGTTTGTGTGTATGTTAAGTGTCTTTCCGATTTCGGGGTTGGCAGCTGCAGCAAAGCCAAACAAAAGGCGCTTAGTGACTTTTTCGCTTTTTTGTCGCTTTTAGTGTCTTCTTCGTCTTTTTATATATTAGGCTTTTATTGTTCCCCATCGAGCGCTTTCCTTCCGGAGGCAACACCGCGTCCACCCGCTCTCCAGTCCGAAGAGAGGGCCCCAATCACGGTCCCTTTTGACTTGCTCGCTCGGCAGCTCAGTCTGTGTGAAACTGTCAGGACAAAACACGAATTGGCGCGAGCGTACGCGGCGGTTGGCGGTTGGTGGTCCATAGATGACGGTTAGTAATTTTTCGACGCAGGTGAAATCTGCATTTCCCGGCAAGTTAGTTGGTGGCATTGCCCTGCAGGTTCGTTTTCTGGTGGACCGCAACGGTCGGTTGTTGCGAGAAGCCATCCACAGACCCGTGGGTCAGTCCTCCTGGGAGATGGCGGGTGGTGGCGGGCGGCCCTTAGTCATATCTACCTATACCATGAATGGGGAGCTCGTACGGCGCGCCAAGCAGTACGTGAGTACGGCATCGGGGTTATTGCCTCTTAGGTTGGATGGGAAAGAGAGAGAGAGAGAGTGTGTGTGTGTGTTTGTGGGGGGTATTGTGTTGACGGGAAAGGCCATTGGCAATCCTCCGGCTCTGGGAGGGTTTTCGAATTGATGAGGCTCCCTAGATCCTAGATGCCTAGATAGACAGACTGACTGAATGATAGACGGACAGACAGACAGACAGGCAGACAGACAGATTTTTACGTGCTCCGCACGTTGCCTAAAACAATGATCTCGCGCCATAATCAAAACCACCCGGTGCGTACCTGTCAGTAACGGATACCGCATATACCGGAATAATCCTAAGTCCTGCTTAACCTTCCTCCGCACGCATGCTCACTTGTGCCCTACAGGTCGTACACGCCCAGCTGCCGTACCGTGTCGTGGCGGCGGAGCTAACCCCCAGCCGCCGGGACTTGGTGATTTGGTGCCGCGTTGGTCCTCAGCCGGGTGACGTGGACAGCTTCGGGTACTTTTCCGTACATGTGAGTACGAACATATGCGGTCTTTGCATCAACTTACAAACTAAATTTGAATTGAATACCGAGTTACTCATTTCATTTACTGGCTCGCTGCGAAGGAAAGGTTTGGCGCCATGATTGGCTCTGTTCGGTTGGGTGTTAGTTATTTGGTTGGTGTTTGGCGGTTGCCGACAGACGCCTACAACAGCTTGGGGGGAGTACAGTTTGCTGTCGTGTTCCATGTCTTCTGCTTTGTTGTCTCCGTTGTTTCTTCCTAAGTTCTTAAACCCCCAAAACAGATATAACGGCTTCTTATTAACTCCAAACACGAACATCCACGAACACCCTGCGGTGGCAGGTCCTCAATTTGGAAGACGGCTTCAAGGCCTGCACACCTAGAATTGATATCTACGACCATTCAAGGTGTGTTATGTCGTACATTACGGCCTCCCGTACCGCGCCGCAATACTTTGCCTAATAATACTTGAAGGACGAGTTGTATGTATGTATGTATGTATGTATGTATGTATGTATGTATGTATGTATGTATGTATGTATGTATGTATGTATGTATGTATGTATGTATGTATGTATGTATGTATGTATGTATGACGTTGATTACACTGTGGGCTGAAAAGCCGGGGGCCCAGGGCCGAAGCACAGCGCGAGGGGCGGGTGCATACGGCTGGTTAGTCTCATGCACTCCGCCCCCGGGTCAGGCCGCACGGGAATGTATGTATGTATGACGTTGATTACACTGTGGGCTGAAAAGCCGGGGGCCCAGGGCCGAAGCACAGCGCGAGGGGCGGGTGCATACGGCTGGTTAGTCTCATGCACTCCGCCCCCGGGTCAGGCCGCACGGGAAACGACGGCCGGCACGCAACAGCGCTTGATTGGCGCTCCAACTAGACGGGATCTATGCCCGTTGGTCTCCTAACATAAACGAAGTCGCAACTGGGGGGCTCTTCCTGCCGACCGACCGAACCGAGCATCTCAGAGAGCTCGCAACCAGGACCTGGGCGACCGGGAGCCCGACGAGTCATCCCGGGCTGGGGAGGTCACCAAGCTCAAAAATCCTCACGCAAAAAAAAGAGCGCAAAGAGCTCACACCACAAGACGCCAAACAGCCTCCTGAGACTACTACCCTCCTCCGCCTCTCCCTCCCTGGGCTAGTCCAGGGGAGATAGCCCCCGTCGGGGGGGTAACACCGCACAAGTCCGCGCCCTTCCACAGCACTGGGTCTAACTTGAAAAGTACTCAAACGGGAAGACCCTGCGGCAACGCAGGGCGATCAAGCCTCCGGAAACCACAGGGGGGGAGGGTAGCCAGCTCGGCGCCCCCCCAATACCGCTCTACCAAGACGGCTGGTTCCCAAGATCCTATCTCACCTAGACGCCGCAACACGAAAAACCCGGTCTCGTACCCTGAAGAACCTAGTCCTGCACCACGCGCGCACCTTCGAGTACGGCCCCTCCTTCTGGGTGCCCACCTCCCCCTCATCCGCGCCCTCGCTACGGCCACCTGTTTCCACTCACCACCCCTCAACCCTACATCCTCTTGGTGCTCTCTCTGCCTCTTCCCCTCCCCCCCCGGCTCTCCCCGCCCTTTCCCCGGTCTCCCCCCCCTCCGCCGGTACGGCTCCCCCAGGCAAATACACCCTCCCTCCCCCATGTCCCCTTGCGCGGCACCCCCCCAAGCCCCATCCCTGATCCCGCCCCCCTCGCAACCTTTCCCCTCAACCTCCCTCTCGTTAGGGACATAGTATAACGCAAACGTTCTAAAGTTCTTAAGTCCTGAAACTCTAAGTTCTAGTACCCCAGCAATTATATGATGTTCACATCCCCAGCAATCATCACGCAGCCAGACCAAGAAGCTTAACTCTATTTCACATGTTATGGGTTTTCGGGTTTTACAGTATTAAACAATCGAATCAAAGCCTTTGTGCAACGAACAGCATCATCATCGCGCTCCTCGCACCGCCTGTTTTTTGCTTTTGGCTCACAGACGCCTTTACTGAGGCCGCCGTTGGCGCTCTCTCGGCATTTGACCTTTTTTGGCAATTTGTTTTTTTCAATGCCAAAGGAAAACTTTTGCCTTTAGTCGTTAGCCTTGAATCCTTCTTCCTTTGACCGCCCCTGTTCCCTTCCAATTTTTAACCAATCCCATCCTTTGGTCCTGACTCCTTGACCACCCGTTCGACGGCTTTTGACGCTCCCCCCTAAAAATAAAAATGTTTCTGGACGCCTCCAACATATTTCAACCGCTCCAGGGGAGCCGCTCCCCCCGCCTTCGCCGTGAGTCGCCGAGTCCATGGTCTTGGCTCCGAGTATCTGATAGCCGGCCTGGCGCATGGCCTTTTGGGCTTCTTCTCGCTAAGTACGGGAGCAATCGTACGAGTCGTACAGCTGCCTGGAGTGCCGACACGTGAGTGGTGTTGGGCACGTCGCAGCTAGCAGCAGCTAGCAGCGCCCGTCCCAAGTTTTCTTATCTTGCTTCTTATCTTCCTTTGCCTCCTTTGTTTTCTTTCCTCCTTTTGGAGCTTCTAAGAGTGTTTCCGTCCCTTTGTCATGCCTAACAGTGCTTCCTTGCCATGGGTCATGTCAGGCAGCTGCGTTGGCTTTCTTCTCCGCAAAGCGCTGACAACAAGTACGACAAACCGCGATGTTCCTTCGTATAAGCTTCACCCTTATCCCTTCGCATCCATCCGCGCTCTCTCTCGCCATTTTCTCCTCTAAATTCCCCCCGGATATGGAAATCTGAAGCACCCGCAACCCCCGATCCATTCCGCAGGGAGTCCGTACTTCTCCTGTCTGACGCTCTTCACCGTCTCTCCCAACTTCGAATGCCTCAACGCCGGCAAGTCCTTCGTCGCCGTCACTGCCGTACACTCCAACGCCGCGCATGTGTACGAACTGGATGATACGGGAGGTGTGGAGCTCAATGTGAGAGCTGTGACGGCGTACGGGCCGCCGCCGGGCGTAGCGCCACCGCCGCCGCCGAAGCCCATCCTGCCGACGAGCCAGGAGCCGCCGCCGGTGGCCCGCAGCCAACGAACTGAAGCTAGCGGCGACGGCAGCGGCGACGGCAGCGGCGATGGCAGCGGCGATGGCAGCGGCGGCCCAGTCCCTGTCCTTGGTCCGCACGAGTCGGCTAGGGACTTGGCGGCGGCGCCGGCACCGGCGGCGCCCGCGCTACCTCCGCCGCAGGATCCGCTAGGATCCGGGGTACCTCGTCCCGCCGGTGGTCCTGGGGGGGCGCGGGTGCACCGCCAAGTGACGTTCAAAATGGAGCCGCCGCCGCCGTTGTGGCCGCGGGGTGCACTCGGAGAGGCGGCGGAGTCGGCGGAGGCGCAGGTAGAAGGGACGGACGGCAGGTTATCCCTGCCGCCATTGGCGGCAGCTAGGTCGCCGCCGACAGTGGCGGCGGTGGCGGCGGCAACAGCCGCGGCGGCGGAGTCGAGACCACATGACGGCGTCAAAGACGAGTACGGCAGCATGCCGAAGCTGCCATCGGTGGCTCGTAAGGCTTCTCAGTGACATCGTGCGAAGCTGCCTACCTATCGACAGGGACGGGTTGGTTGGTTGCAGGTAGTTTAGTTAGTTAGGGCTTCAGAGCGTGTGCCTCAGGTAATGTACGGCAGTAAGGGAAGAGTAAACTTTAGGAGCATGCGACCTGCGTCGATGGTGGAGGTCACTGGAGCCGGGTTTCGGAGTCGGGTTTCGGAGCTGGGTTCTAATCGCTTCCGGAGGATGGCAATCCTCCAGGCAGATAGCTGACTCAGCTGCAGCTGGTGGTGCTATTAAGAGTGCGCGCCAAGATTTCATTTCATTTCATTAAGTAGCGACGCCGAAACGTACGAACGAATGTACCGCATTGCGATGCAGGCGAGAAGTGCTTGAATAGGAAAATGAAATGACCACTCTGCACGGAGCGTGGAGCATTGCACTTTTTGGGGTTTGTGTTTTCTAGTTGACGGTGGAGGTGACGCATTACAAACATCAGGCTGACAGCATGTTGTCGGATACCTGTACCGGTGTCCACCACGGGAACACCCTGTCTGCTTTAAATGCTGTAAACGATATATTAATTTGCTACATAAAAAGTGCTAAATTGTGCTTCAAAAAATGCTGCAAAAATGCTGCAAAAATTTGCTACAAAATTCATCTTGACGCACAGCTGTAAGATGACCAGGACCTTACCGGCGACCTCAATCGGATTCCGATTGTGTTACATCTAGCGGTCTCAAACGGTAATCTGAAAAACCGTTAATGTGAAAAACCCTAATGAAGTTCAGAAATCGGCCGCCACAAAAACTGTATTATCAGGTGTTTTTATTATTACATACACAGTGCACAGATCCCGTTTCACACACGTCCCATTTATCGTATTCTGCAATGCTGACGACAGAGAGAGATACTCCGAACTTCGCCCTCCTCATCATTCCATGCCAATTTCCCCCCCCACCACCACCGCCTTCGCAGCCTTCCCCTTTGTTTTCTTTCTTATTGGCACTTTTTTTAATCCATTCCACCCAGCCGGCTTCTCCGCATCTATTTCCAGACCCGGGCACCAGCAGCACCACCATTAGCAACCACTAAAAACTGCTTGCCGACCTCACAGCGGCGGGCGTGAGATAATAATCAGGCCAGGTAAGCTGTATCTTTCCTCCCCACGCCACGAATCGCACCGCACCGCAGTGCAAACACCAGCTTTCCCCTTAATAATCCCTAAGGGGCGCGTTGGAAGACGGAAGATGAGCATTACATGAGCATTACATGTTACGACTGTTTTCCTTCTTGGAGTGCAATATTTGGAGCGGAATACCGCGAGAAGTCATGGGGGTAAAGGAGCGTGTTGACTGGTTGTTGGGTAGACCTCTACCCGAAGGACCGGCGATAACGGCACTAAGGGAGCGTTTGATGAGCGGCTGGGACCATACGCGTCTGACTGTCTTGCCAGAGGAGTACCCATCAGATGGGAAGCAACCGGGAGTGCAAATGGCGAAGTATAAGCACTGGATGGGGCTGCCCTTTTCGGGAGCCGCAGCCGTCATGTGGCCAACACCTGCTAAGGTTTTCATTCCTCGTTTAGCACATCGTAAGCTAATGCAGTTTCGTTCATGTTGCTGGGCTCTGGAGGCAAACAGAGCACGAAGGGGCAAGTACCATGTCCCCAGGGGGCAGCGGTTTTGCCGCTGTTGTGGTACTAATAGCCGAATCGAGGATGAAAAACACGTGTTATTGGAATGCCCAGCCTATAATGATATTCATGCTGAACAGGGATTCGATCATCAACAGAGCATGTTGGAGGCCATGAAATGGGAGCCAGCACGTCTGGCGACGATGTTGGAATGTATGTGGGCTCACCGAAACTCAGTTACCCCCTTTGGACGCTAGTCTGGGCTGATGTGCGGTGTTTCCTTTCCTCCGTGGCTTTTAGGCGTTGTAGTATTGCCCTTGGGCCTTCGGCTCGTATGGGTAGTTTCACAGGTATGGGGTCATGCACCCCCAACCATGTAACACACACAAACACACATGAAGGAGGAGAGAATTCCCGGTCAACCAGCAAGGGTATGCCATGTTTCCGTTGTGTCAGCAAGGGTATGTCATGTTTCAGCAATTCCGAAGGAGGGCATCCTGCGACTCATTTCTGTCACATCCACTTATTCCATCCTATGCTCTGTAGCCGTATTTTGGTCCCCTTCACGGCACCTCCACATGTACCTCTCCTCTGTAGGTCCGTGACTTCGGTCGCATGCACACCTTCCCCACATAAGCCACCCAGGCTCACTTCAGTCACCTTGAAGGAGGAGGAAGAGGAGAAAAAGGAGGAGAGAAAGGAGAGGGACAAGAGGCTCTTCTACACACGTCGTTTGTTATTAGCTGCTACATCGCCAGTCACCAACTTCCGCTTGAGATCCAAAGCCGAGCCGGGCCCTCCTCCTAAGCCGCCACCGCCAGGTCGGGCCCCAGAGCCGCTTCCGCCGGTACCACCGCCGATAGCTGCCGGGCCGCCGGACGACAGACCCAACAAACCCATCAGGCCGCCGCCGCCGCTGCCGCCGCCACCGCCGCTGCCAAGAGCAGGCCGTGCGATGATAGATCGCAGTGCAGAGAATGATGAAGCAGCAGCGGAGGCAGAGGCGGCGGCACTGCCACTGCCGCCGCCTTCGGCGGCGGCGGCGGTGTCAGAGGGATCCCGGGACTTTTCCGGAATTGCGGCGGAGTTCGATGTATCAGCTGCAAAGATAAAGGAACGTGTGTTGACGCCGGCGGCGGCGTTGGATGTCGTACGATTGCTGGACGGGGCGGCGGCGCGACCCAGAAAGGTGGCGGCAGCGGCGCCCGGGGCCTTGTGTGAGGTCGTACATTCGTGACAGAAAGCGTTTATTTGGCGGGCGGGAAAGAGGGGGGTTAACGGTAAAGGGCACACGGGGACACGAGGGGTCGGGACGAGGGGTTTTAGGGCTTCGATGTGCGCGTTTTAGGCTGGTCATTTGGGTTGGTTTCTGACCCCACGATGTCGGCATCAGAACTGCCGGCGGGTCTCAACAAATTTTGTAAATAAAATGGGATGTTGAGTTGTGTCGGGTTGAGCCATGAACAGTAATGGAAATGAAGATGAGAGGCGGGAAGCGTGGTGATGATGATGCGGTCGGGTGTTTTCAGCATCAAAACACAGTGATGGTTTGCAGCGACTAAATTTGAAGGAGAGGCGGAGGAGAGAGGAGAGGAGAGAGGAGAGGGGGACCCCGGCATGCAGGATAAGTCGCTGGGAAAAGCGCTGGGACCCCCCAATCGCTTTCACTCACATTTATTCATCCGGGCCCCCTCATGGCTCGTACGTATGTACGCATGTATGTATGTAAGGGCCCGTTACACCTTGGGAGGGTTTAGGGTTTACACAACTCAAAAGGTGTACTGTACATGCATATATACATATATATACTTTTACTCAATTGATGTGTCTCAAACTCTACCTGAAAGCGCTCCCCGGCTCCGCCACCACCGCCGCCACCGCGATTCGTAATGTCCGAGCCGAACATAGTAAAGCGATGGCCCCCACCGCCTGTGCCGGCGGCGGCCACCGTCGGCCCCGCCGGCTCCGCCGCCACCCCTGGCTCCACTAGAGCGGCGGCGGCGGCGACAGAGGCGGAACGCTGCAACAAGGCAACCACATCATCACTGTGCCGTACAGAGGCAGCGGCGGCGGTGGTGCTGCTGCGCAATGGCGAGGGCTCCAGCGCGCTCCCTGGAGAGATGCAGCCCGCGCTGACGTCACCCTGCATCGCAGTACGACAAGTGGGTGCCGTCCAAAAGGATCAGTTTACACAAGATCAAAAGTCGTGGCTGCGCGCTCTCGCCAGCGACTGCCACAAAACAGCGCACAAGACCTCCTAGCTCGGGGATTTGTGCAAAAAAACTCGCATCAATTCTCACAGTTGTCGTACAGATTCGTCGTACCCACCCTGGAATCCCATCCACCCACCCGCCCACTCAACATCCTACCACCCTTCACCTACAAACCCATCCGGCCCCTCTCACACCTGCGGAGGCCGGGATGTTTCCTGAGATTGCTGCCGTCGCAACATCCGCTTCGCCTCCACTGGATCCAAAACACGGGAGATCCCGCCGGCGCCATTACTGGTGGATCCAAATCCAAATCCAACCGACGCTGCCCCAGCAGCGCGACCCCCCATCAACGGAAAACGCGCACCGACACGCGCCGCCGGAGGCGGCAGCACCCCTCCGCCACCGCTTCCCTCTTGAGTTCCGGTTCCAGATCCGGATCCGGATCCCGTTCCAGCCTCGGATGGCAGCGGCGGCGGCAAAGCATCCACATCTCCTCGTTGTTGGGTAGCAAGATCCACCTCCTCGTCTTCCTCGCGGGCTAGATCCAGATCCAGGCCGTGTCCTCGCGCTACGCGGATGGGCGCGTCGTCGTCGTCACCGGCGGTACTCGCGAAGAGATGCGCGCGGCGGCGTCGAGCGTCATTGTCCGTCATGTCCTGTGACAGCGGTTTGGTGGAGTGAGAGGGAAATGTGCGTGTGCGTGGGTGGGGTAGGGGGGTAGGGGGGAGGGGGGGAGGGGGGAGGGAAATCATTTGCGTTGAAAAGTGGGAGGTGAACTGCTGCCGGTGGTATCCAAGAGGTCCGAAACTGCCGGTGGGAGTAGACAAGATGAACTCATGCACCCGCGGTCGTGGAGAGGGGAAAAGGGGGGGAAGGAGGGGAAGCGGCCCCAGGGGGGTCCCAGCGGGAAGGGGCCCCCAGCGGACACCTGGCAAACCTCAAACACAATACTCGAGAAGCATCTTCATCATCTACAACGCCGGCCATGCAATGCTCCTGTCGATATGTCACCCTCTCCTTCTGCCCCCCAACACACACACACACATACACAAACACACACACGCTCCCTTCCCCACCCGGAACCCAAAACCCCCGCCCCACCGACCCCCTCGTTCCTCACGCACCTCGTCGTCATCCAGACCCCCAAGCGCTTTCTTCCGTCTGAATCCCCGCCGTACAGCCTCAAGGAGCTCCCGTACGGCAGCAGAGTCACGTTCCGCCTCCCACAGCGCGTGCAGCTCCACTCGGCGGGACTCATCTGCGGCGCTGTCCCGGGCGGTGCCTAGCAGGGAGGCCTGGGCGGATGACGTGGGTGGCACAAGTATGTATGTATGTGTGTGTGTCTGTCTCTCTGTCTGTCTTCCTGTCTGCTAGTTTGGTTTGTGTGTTTATGGAGTCGCAGGGAAGGAGGACTCGGGACTCACGCATGGCGTGTGATGGTATATTGGTGCAATGGCCTGCCAGCAGCAAGGAACAAACGCAAGACCTCAATAATCCACTAATCCTGCAGTTCGCCAGCTATTACAACCTGCTATTAATTGTCCGCGTTCCGTTTCGGAGCGAGGAGGCACCACTCCGCGGGGGGACTTGCTCAACGTTTGTTGTCCTTATATACACGATGTATTTATTACACGTTGCATATACAAATGTATATGTACATAGGGAAAACATTTACATATATATGTACATATCTGTACATATACATATATCTGAATATACAGGGGAAATTGACATATCCTACAAAGAGACCCCAAATAGCTAAACCCCCGTTCGTTGCCTGTGGCCCCCCCTCCTCCTCACCAACATCCCCTCGTCCAGATCCTCGCCGTCGTACTCGTCTTCCAGATCATCCAGGGCGGCAATGCCTGCACGGAGTGACCCGCGGGTCATGACAACTCGTGCGGAGAGAAGACAAGAAGATTTCGTCACCGACCCATCCCCAACGGGTGATATAAAATGCCGTACAGTCCCATCGCAATCCCCTCCCCTCCTCACCCTCCTCCTCATCACTAAGCTCCGCCTCCACATCCACAAAGAGCGCCCCGGCGCCCCGCTCCGCCGCCGCTCTCCGCCTGGCAGCCGCCAGTTGCTCTGCTCGCCGTTGCTTTGCAGCCGCAATCAAAACGTCCGTCAGCTGCTGCCGCCGCTGGAGCTGCTGTTGCTGCTGCTGCTGCTCCGTCGCCGCCGCTGCAGCGTCACTGCCGCCGCCGCCACCGCCATCGATCCGTAGTCCCGCACCTGCTGCAGTGTCGGCCTCCTCTTCCTCGAAATGAAGGGCCTCGGCTGCGTTCAGCCAATTTGTTATCAAGCACATGCATACATACATACAGTTTGTCAACCAGTCCGTTAATGCCCGTTCGTCAGTTCGTCAATCTGTCATATCATTTATTAGTCAACCAACCACGTCGGCCAGGTAGTCACCGTGTAAGCTCCAGAGGGTTTCATTCAGCGCGATTGTGGTGGTGGTGGAGGTGGATGCGGTGATGGGGTTGACATCCTGAAACTTCCGGATTCATATAACAAACTGTAAAATGGCTGAATGAATGATTTGGGTTAGAAAAAGAGAAAAAAGAGGGAGGCGAGGGCGAGACGGAGCTCCCCGGGGGCTCCACGGCACGGCACGAGATGTAGTCGTGTTGTGGGAAACGACCCAGGAAGCGGAAGGGAGGAACACACACAGGAGCCCCAGACCGACACAGGAAGCAACGTCTCCTCACGTTCCACAGCGTCTTCTTCGTCGGTACTGTCAAACTCTTCGTCCACGTCGTACGCAATGCCCTCCTCCTCCTCTCCTCCTTCTTCTTCTTCCTCCTCCTCCGCCTCGGCAGCAGCCCCAGCCTCGTCTTCCGCCCCCTCATCCTCTTCCTCCTCCTCTGCTTCCTCACCACCACCGCTTGCTGCCGCCATCGCCGCCTCCTCGCTCTCCTCCCCTTCCTCCCCTTCCTCGTTCGCATCTTCTTCCTCCTCTTCCTCGTTCGCATCTTCTTCCTCCTCTTCCTTCTCCTCTCTTCCTGTAGCCGCAGAACATGTACACGCTGGTTGTACATACATACATACATACATACATACTCAGTTTAGGCACTACTGGTAAGGCACCGGACCATTGCCCCCGGGAGATCACGGGATCGAGACCTGTCAGGGTCGAAAATCGTTCCAATGGTGGAAGGTAAAGTGCCCCTAGGTGATGGACGGTGGTGACCTGGGATAAAGTTGACTCGCGAGCCGACCAGGAATGGAGTTGGATGCTGGTGGTGGGTGCGGAACCTGAGCGATCCACTGAGAAGTTGACTAGGGTGACTAGATGAGGGTGCCCCGAAATACCGGGGAAGGCAGGGTTTCGCCGGGTAGCGGCCATGGGTGAAGATATGCCCCCCTGTCCCACACATCATATACGCAGCCAGACAGGTGGCTAGGTGGACAGGCCGACATACAGACAGATAGACAATCGCTCGCGGGATGGATATCTAAAGCCGTGCCATGCTATGGGGCAACCATGCTACGGGACAACCTCGCGAAGGTGATGGAAGATATGAGGAGGAGGAGGCAACCACACCTCCCCTTACGTGTGCAAGTTGGGCCCCCTCCTCTTCCTCCTCCTCCTCTTTCTCCACATCATGATGATGATGATGATGGTCATGATCATCGCCTCGACTTCCCCAACTCCTTAAAGCACGCAAGAGGGAAAGCTGCACAAACACCCGCCGCCACTCGCCTTACCGTCTGCATCATCACCTGCCGCCTGCGGTGGATTGGGGACAGCCGCCACCGCCGGTTCCGGTTCCGGATCAAGGTCCGGATCCACAATTAAGTCGTCATCGTCACCCAAATCCAGATCCAAGGCCAGATCCAGACTCGCGGTGACAGCGGTGCCGCTTCTTTCCTGACTTCCGTCCGCACCCTCTCCGACCCCAAATCCGGATCCAGTTCCGGATTTGGATCCAACCTCAATGGACGGAGCCCGGTGTGCTAGATCGATTAATGGAATTAGAGTGGCGGATTTTCTGCCTCCTTTGGACCCTCCACCTCTGGAACTATCAAAAACGCCAGGACCGCCGCCGCAGCAGCCTATGCCATCACCACCGCCGGCAGCAGCAGCACCACCAGTAAAATCCGCTTGTCGCCGAATTTCACCTCCAACTACATTCCCGGTACCCATATTCTGTTGTTGCGATTGTTGCTGCTGTGACTGCGAACGGGTTTGTTGAGAATTTTCATCATCGTACACAAGTACGGCTGGCGTGTCGTGACCCATGGGTCCTGGTCCTTCGGCGGCTGCCGCAGCGCCCGCACCCAGAGGTCGAAGGCCACGGATGGCACCAAAAGGACTCTTCGCCAACGGTGGACCAACCTCCTCAACCACCACCAGCTCTCCCTCGGCGTCACCGACGCCAAGGTCAACGCCAAGGTCGCTGTCGCCGCCACCCGCCGCCGCCTCTCCCATAATCACGTCGTCGCCGGCGTCGCTGTCGCCGCCAGTACTACACCGCTGCCGCTGCAGCTTCCGCGATGGTGCCGCCGCCGCGTTCCCCTTCACTTCCACCGCGCTATCACTGCCGTGCAATCGCAAGTCAAGATCCATTTGCGAAGCCTCTCCCGTGCCGTACATTCCATATCCGCCAGTCGCGGCAGTAGCAGCAGTGGCGGCGGCGCCGTCACCTCGGAAGGATTGCGTAGTGGTGGCGGCGGCAGCGGCGGCAGGCGGCGGCGGCTGGTACTGCTGCTTGCTCTGTACGAGTGTCTGCATGAGCGCGCGAACGTTGAAGGAGGGGGCCGCCGGGGGGTGGTGGAGTGCCGCCGCCGCCGCCGCCGCCGGCGCTGCTGCCGTGGCCTGGCCGTCCTTGACGGGAGCGTTGGCCCGCGTCCTGCAATGATACACATGCGCATGCATGTACGGGATGTGGAGTACGGCGTACGGGATACGTGGTACGAATGGGTAGAGGGGTTATTCCAAGAAATTAGGCAGCAAGTACGAAAGATATCAATGGTTTATGTATAATACGGCGCGTCAAGGAGTTGAGAGCTATGTTTATTGGATTTCATCACCACGTGCCATGTACGACTTATCAAAAAGATCTGTTGCAGCGTATTCGAAAGGGTCACCCGTGCATGTCGCTTAACCCCACGCTGCAGTGTTGCCTGTTCAAGCCAGCACATGTGACGTCATATCACAGTACGGATACGCGTCGCCTCGCCTCGTCGTTTCCGCCCTCTCCCTCCCCTCCTCCCTTCCCGCTTGCAAGTGATGATATAGCGATGATGCCATCTGCAATTCGCCACTATGAGCGCCCCTTCACCTCCTCCTTCCCCTTGCTCCCCTTCCTTCCCCTCCACCTCTTCCTCCTCCTTCCCCTCCCCCTCTTCCTTCCCCTCCCCCTCTTCCTCCTCCTTCCCCTCTTCCTCCTCCTTCCCCTCTTCCTCCTCCTTCCCCTCCTCTTCCTTCCCCTCCACCTCTTCCCCCTCCTCCATCACCACCTCCTCTTCCTACTCCCCCTCTTCCTACTCCACGTTCCCCCGCCCGGGCACCCACCTCTCCACCAGGCTCTTCTGTCGCGCCATGATCCTGCTCAGGACATCACTGAGGGGCTTCACGGGCAGGGCGTCCACCTCGGCTCGGCCGCCGATACGGTCGCGTAAAGCGGCCTCTGGGAAGAAGAGGAAAAGAGGAAACCAAGACACGCGGGGGGGGGGTCAAAGGAAGCGGACATGTACAAAAAGGTGCAGAGGGAGGTCTCAAGGTAAGTGCGCGCAACCGCCGGCCCGTCCAGGATTGACCAAGCACGTGTTGCCGCATACGAGCTTGAGGAGCAAATTGATTCCGCCCGGGACGAAAACACGTCCCGAAACAAAACGTTGTGGAGTCGAGTGGAGTGGAGTGGGGTGGAGGAGAGGTAGCGGGTCAAGTGAAAAAAGGGGGGGGGGAAAGCGGGGGGTGATATGTGAGGGGAAATCCATACACAGTGTACCGTACCTCTCCCACACACGGCGTATCCCGAATCCAAACCAATCAAGACCAGAAACAGTCCTCTGCCGCTTTTTTTGCAGTATCTTGCCCTCCCATCCTCGAACGCCCCAAGGCCCTCACCTTAACCTCCATCCCCCTTCCAGCAGCAGCTTCACTCGCTCGTGGTTCGTTTCCCTCCCCCTCCATCCCCCTTCCAGCAGCAGCTTCACTCGCTCGTGGTTCGTTTCCCTCCCCCCCTTTCCCCTCTTACATACTTCTGTTGGGCGTATCGCTCTATCCTCCTTGGCATCAGCAGCTTCACTGGTTCGCGGTTCGTGGTTCGCTCCCCCCCCCCCGAACCTCCCTGTGGGACCCCCCACATCCCGGCCCGGCATCTCGATGTCATCGCACCCACGCGCCCTCCCACCTCCTCACGACTCACCCCGCAGTAGGCGCTGCTTGACAACCTCCGGGTCCTCGTCCTTAGTTGCTGCTCCGTCCACCGCCCCCTCCTCCTCCACCTCCTCCCCCCCATCGCCCACTTCCTCCTCCTCCTCTTCCTCCCCCGCCTTCGCGGCCACTGCGGCGGGTGGGTTGCCAAAACAGGATCCCGCTTTTTACCTGACCAAACCTGACTTCGCGAGGATCAGGACCTTCAAATTTTAAACAATTTTTAAACAAAAAACAGCATCAGGCATCAGAAATCGGAAGGAACAGGACGAAAAGGATCAATCGATTAATGGGATGTGGGATGTGCTACTGGAGCTGCCGCCACGATGGCAACCCTATACATACACCTTTCGCAATGCGCGCTTCCTGTCAACACACGACATATGTTCCCGAACATGCACACAAATATAAAATACATACATACATACATACATACGCAAAAACACAGAAATACAAGAGCAGGGTGTAGTATATGGTCCCTCGTGGATCAACCTAACACAAGTATGTAATCATTGCGGCTACTACACTTGCAGGACCTCACCAGCAGCAGCACCGGCCGCGACGCCGCCACCGCCGTTGCCACCTACCGCCGACGGCCGCGGCGGTGACAGATCATCAAACTCGTCACCGACTGCACTGCGCACAACAACGCGCTTCCGGATTGCCTTGGCCGACCGAACACCACCGCCGCGGCCGTCAGCTCCCGTTGGCTGATCATCGGCGGCGTCAGCGCCACCGTTGGCGGCTGCCGTACCACGCACCTCCGCCGTGCGCGTTTGGACGAGAGATGCCTGTAGGACCGGCGGCTGCGGCGTCAGCGTGCGACGCAGCCGCTTCAGCCTCCGACCGGCCCCGGCGCAGCCGGCGCCATCACTGCCATCAACGTCGCCCCCTACCGCCTCTGCTGCGCCAGCGGCATCCGAGTCCAAGAGCTCATCCTCCAGGGAATCCTCCAAGGTTATCTCCTCGCCTTGCCATGTGTGCGGCGGCGCCGCTAGAGGTGGCGCTAACTGTGACGCCGCAAGAGCGGCGGCGGCGGGTTCAGGAAACGATGTCGCCGCCACTGCCGCAGCTGTCACTGCATCATGCACGGTCATGTCCTCAGCCGGGGGCTCCACCATGGGAGCATCGGCCGGGTATTCCACGGCCACATTTGGATCGTTATCGGAAGATTCAAGAGGTGCGGTGAAGGCCAAGTTCAGGACAAGGGATTGTGGCAGCAGCGACGGCGGTGGAGGCTGCTGCGCTTCAATGTCCATGACAGCTGCTGTGGAAGGGTTGGGTTGAACGGCTCCTGCGCGGGAATATTTATGTGACGGAGAAAGAGGATCTTGGAGTGACTGATATTGCTGGTCATCTGGTGGTTGCAACTCGGTTTCCTTGACAGGCGGAAGCACGAAATTGCAGGCTGGAGAGGGGCGGCTGGCACCCGGGTCCTCCATAGGAACTGGAGCAGATATAAGAGCTTCAAACTCCTCGTCTGCTGCCTGTTCAGCAGCAGAGACGTTTTGTTTTGTTGGAGATAGACGGCCGTGGCAGGGCATGTCCGGCTCGCCCTGGGATGGCTTGCCGAGCCCAGAAGAACCAATTTCAAGTTGTGTTTGCTGCTGCTGCTGTTCCTTGGGAAGTTGCACTTGCTGCTGCGGTTCGCTCTTGAACGCTGAAGCATGCTGTTCCTGTGACGATGAAAACAGAACAGACCAAAGCGCGTTGGGCTCACTTCCATTGCTGGTAGCCTGGGTGCTGAGATCCATCCTAGGTAGATGTGCAAGAGTTAACTAGGGTGTGGATAAACAATGTCATACAATTAACAGCTCGGTTTAAAGTTGTAGTCAACGGATTATCTCCATCAGATCCAGTCATCCGTTACCGTGGTCGGTGAATTCCATTACTATTACAGTAGGGTGGGACAAGGCCAACATTCGCATCCCGCGCAAATTTCGCTGGGGGCCCAAATGCTCCGAAGCCTCACAGTCCTTGGGCTCTAGGAGCGTTGGACTCTCATGCAATTTGCGTGGTTTAAAGTCTTGTAAGATTTTCGATGGCATTTGTAGGAAGTTGGAGTTCGGGCAAGGGTTAACAGGCGTCAGTTTCAATCTCCCTGCATGCGTTAGTCCCTGATTTAATGCCTGGACAATGCTGTAGTAGTGGATACACAACGATCTTTAAAAATATTCTAGATTTTTTCTGGGTTTGACCCTTCAAGGCTTTCCTAATCGTCCTCTTAACGATGCAACTACGGCGCACCACGGGATTGTTGCTGATCATCGTAATAGCAGCTACACTTTCCGAAGCACTTCCTGGAGGATCCGACATCATCCTAATAAAGGTATAGCTGCATCGTACCATGTCCGGGTATGCCCCACACGGACCTCGTACGAATTTGCCACCCATGCCTTGACTGGCACCCCACTCCTTGGCCTTCCAATACTCAAAACATGACCCTCGTAACATGTAAACACCTATCAACCAACTGTCTCAACCTAGCTGAGCCGTTCCTATCACAAGCTCCCACAACACTCACTCCTTTCTAGCGCATGCGCGCATGGCCACGCGCAATACCGGACCCCAAAACACCCGCTTTGTCCGAATCTGCAAAACCCACCATCGCACGGGAGTCTTGCAAACGAACTCTCCCCTACCCTCCTTACGTCCATCTTTGATATCTGCTTCAATCGCCAGTGCGGTGAACTCCTTTCCCCTTTCCCCCCGCCCAGCCACCGCCGCCCCAGCCCCTTGCCTTCCGAAGTTTCCATAACATTCAAACCGTTAGACGTTACCACGACAGAATTGAATATATCGGCTCTGATACGCACTAAGTTTTCTCCTTCTCTCCTTGTAACGCGATTGTACCTGCTCTTCTCCGTCATCTCCACTTTGGCTCCTTGCCTTGCCTGTTCTTCCTTCCTGCTACCTCCACCCCTTACCTTTGCAGTCAGTGCACCACTTAAGAAAAAGCAACAAAGTACTGTCGACCACCGCGACCCATGCCGTCACATGCGATGTCATGACGTCCCACGCTGAGAAACCCCTCTCTGTACATACCGCCTCTACGCCTCCCATTTTATCCGCGACCACTACAACCAACATAACCAACACAACCAACACAACCGCAACCACAAGAAGAAGAAAAAGAAGGAGAAGAAGGCCGCCTGGCTCCCAAACAGCCCTAGTTGGTTTTCCGTGTCTGGTATGGAAGATCGCCCACCCGGCTGCCTGCCTCACGGGCCCTATCACCCTGCCTGTTCCTCCGCCCCTCTCTTGCTAGGTCGTACATGTTTTTTGACCCACTAGTAAGAAAATTCTGTCCGTCCGTCTGCCTGTCCGTCTGTCCGTCTGTCTGCCTTTCCACCACCGCAGGGCGGTAGCGTGGTGAATCACGACCTCGCCAGTCGGGCGGATGTCCTCGTACGTGGCGAGGTTATCGCCGAGGTTGCACCCACCATCGAGGCGAGTTGGAACCCCAACTCATGATGAGAACACTTCCTGCGGTCCTCCAAAAAATGGTTTCATCCCCATCCCCGTTTGCCCAAGCGCCTGGGATTCTCTGCGACTCTTTGGGGGGCATCATTATCGTCTTATATCTATTCAACATTTTACATGTGATGTTTTTTATACTTTTTTTGCAAATGCAACTACTCTGCCACGTCAGCTTTTGACCTCCTGTAAGACCAGTGCTCTTAATCACTTGCGTCAGTTCCGCACACTAATCTTCTGCCAGGATCCCTCGGGCCGCTTTGGGCGCCACCCTACCCTTCCTCGCCGTGTCACTGTGTGAACCTTCGGCGTACAGCCACTCTCCCTCAATCGGGCTGCCTGTGCGTGTGTTTCGCACAAACACGTTGCTCTCTTCCTTTGCTCCCCTTGTCTCATGCTTTCCCTCCTGCCCCTATCCTCTTTCCGACCCACCCCACACACCACCATTACCACCACCACCACCACACACATGTTCCCTTACCTTGTGACCCGCGACCACGCCACCCACCACGCCATTGCCCACCCGAACAGGTTCCCCCGGGTGTCACGGTTCTGAATGCAACCGGGATGTTTGTGATGCCGGGCGGCATCGACCCCCACACGCACCTGGACATGCCCTTCATGGGCTCGGTCACCGCTGATGATTTCTTCAGGTCCGCGGTTCGAAGCCGGCTGCCGGCAATGCACTGCAAAAGGATCTGTGGAGAGGAAAAGGGCTGACACATACATACACATATACATACACACAATACAACACACACACACAAGTAGACACATATGCTCCCCACCCTTTCCTCGTACTGCCCTCCGCTCTCCCCTCTCGTCAATCCCCTCTTCCCTCCCCTCCCCTCTCCCCTCTCGCCAATTATACGTGCTTTGTCGTACCCCTCTCGATGTTGCTGTCATTAAGAGGATCCCTTCAAGGCGCCTGAGGGCCCCGTGGCGGCAGTAGTCTCTTTTTACCCGCATATGTTACCTTACCGCACCACGTACCATCTCGCGTGTCGTGTTTTGCCCTCCCGAAGCCCCTCCCAAATCCCCAGACGTCACCCCCGCGCCCCGGCGCCCTCACTGCCGTGCTATTCCTCCTTCTCCCGCCCTCCTTTCCCTTGGACCCGGCATCCAGCGGTCAGGCTGCAGCACTGGCGGGTGGTACGACAATGCACATCGACTTTGCACTGCCCGTAAATCACGACATTATGGCAGGGTACGAGCTATGGAAGGTACGACACGGACGGTGCCGTACGGTTACGGCTGGTTCAAAGATGTGTACGTAAACTCGTAGCACAGCTAGTGGCGGGATTACTCATTTACCTCGTACGACTATCCTGCCAGACGGAACCCCACTGTGCTATTGTGATGTTTGTGCGTACATATGCATGTATGTACATATGCATGTATGTACATATGCATGTATGTACATATGCATGTATGTACATATGCATGTATGTACATATGCATGTATTGTCTGTGTCTGTGTCTTCACCCGAAATTGTGGCTTGTCTGTTGTTTGGATCCGGATCTTGCGTCGCATGTGTAAGCGGACTTTAGGTTCCTTTTCTAGACCTGGATCTGGATCTGGATCTAGATTTGGATCTGGATTTGAATTGCATGCTGTTATGTAAGGACTGGATCCGGCTTTGTGGACCCGAGCACAGGAAAAGGCCTCCCGCAGCTGCATGGACTACGGCTTCCACATGGCCATCACCCGTTGGGACGAGCAGGTACGACACTTGTACGACATACCATATGTCCATGGGCCCAAATTGGGTCATACCAGCGCTTTTCCTACTGTGTAATCATTCCTGTGCAGGGACAGCACACAAAACACATACAGACATACGTGCGCATGAATTGATACACACGTTCACACACACACATACACACATACATACAGACAGACCCATACACATCTCCCCGCCATCCCGTCCAACCCGTCTATTCTCCCAGGTTTCCCGGGACATGGAGGCTCTAGTTCACGAGGGCATCAATTCCTTCAAGTTTTTCATGGCTTACAAAGTACGGCAAGCTGGAACAGGATACCGCCGTACTGCTGAGCGATATACGGCATGTGCCATTACCCCTTTTGCCCCGTAGTAGTCGCAGCACGCCCTAGCCTTCCGAACCTGACCACGAATACAAGACTGTAAACGGACGTATTTAGCTATTGTCTTGTTTGTCTGTATGTACTTGTGGGACACCATTTTGGAAGTTCCCCGGCGCCAATTATGCTTTAATGAATCTCCCTCTTCAGTGGACGTACATACATTCGGACATACATACGTTCATACGTACGTTCATGCAGATGCAAGTGCCAACGTAGGGTTATGCAAAATCACGCAGAAGAAAATTTGTATGGGGGAGGAGACCGCGGCACCCATACGTGCGTTAATAAATAAATAATAATTATTCAAGGCCATATTTTTTTCGCTTCCTTTTTCCGCCGGCATCCGCATCTTTAGTTGCCTATGCCTTCTCCTGCTACTTGTACTGCTACTTGTACTGCTACTTGTACTGCTACTTGTACTGCTACGTGTACTGCTACGTGTACTGCTACGTGTACTGCTACGTGTACTGCTACGTGTACTGCTACGTGTACTGCTACGTGTACTGCTACTTGTACTGCTACTTGTACTGCTACGTGTACTGCTACTTGTACTGCTACGTGTACTGCTACGTGTACTGCTACGTGTACTGCTACGTGTACTGCTACGTGTACTGCTACGTGTACTGCTACGTGTACTGCTACGTGTACTGCTACGTGTACTGCTACGTGTACTGCTACGTGTACTGCTACTTGTACTGCTACGTGTACTGCTACGTGTACTGCTACGTGTACTGCTACGTGTACTGCTACGTGTACTGCTACGTGTACTGCTACGTGTACTGCTACGTGTACTGCTACGTGTACTGCTACGTGTACTGCTACGTGTACTGCTACGTGTACTGCTACGTGTACTGCTACGTGTACTGCTACGTGTACTGCTACGTGTACTGCTACGTGTACTGCTACGTGTACTGCTACGTGTACTGCTACGTGTACTGCTACGTGTACTGCTACGTGTACTGCTACGTGTACTGCTACGTGTACTGCTACGTGTACTGCTACGTGTACTGCTACGTGTACTGCTACGTGTACTGCTACGTGTACTGCTACGTGTACTGCTACGTGTACTGCTACGTGTACTGCTACGTGTACTGCTACGTGTACTGCTACGTGTACTGCTACGTGTACTGCTACGTGTACTGCTACGTGTACTGCTACGTGTACTGCTACGTGTACTGCTACGTGTACTGCTACGTGTACTGCTACGTGTACTGCTACGTGTACTGCTACGTGTACTGCTACGTGTACTGCTACGTGTACTGCTACGTGTACTGCTACGTGTACTGCTACGTGTACTGCTACGTGTACTGCTACGTGTACTGCTACGTGTACTGCTACGTGTACTGCTACGTGTACTGCTACGTGTACTGCTACGTGTACTGCTACGTGTACTGCTACGTGTACTGCTACGTGTACTGCTACGTGTACTGCCTACTGTAGCTTCTGATTCTGCATTTAGTGGTGCTTCGCGGATCAGTCCCTTGAAAGGCGTACGGCACCTTCCCCCCGTCCCCCCCCCCGAATCCGACCTGGCAGAATGTGCTTCAGGTGACAGATTCGGAGCTGGTGGCAGGTCTTCAGCGATGTAGGGAGCTGGGCGCCTTGCCCATGGTGGGGTGTGATGGCTCTCTTAACGCCGGTCTCGGGGGTCTCGGGTTGGTCGGTTGTCGGTTGGTCGGTTAGTTGAGTTTCTGGATTCACGGCAGGATGAGACGGTGTGTGGATGTGGGTGTGTGGGGGAGGGGGGAGGGGAAGAGGGAGGACGCTATGTGCTTTCGTGCGGATGGCCGGGTTTAGGGTTTTAAAGTGATGTAAAGAATGGCTTGGGATGGGGGGTTGGGTTGGGGGGTGGGGCAGTGATTTTTTTTTCATTTAGGGGGGGTCTCAATTTATTCCGACCTAAGTAACAAAGTTGCTAGCGTCGCCGTAATGTATTCCTTAAGAGTGGGGCGCTGG